TTCTTTCCCCCCTAACCAGGAAAAGAAACCAGTTCAGTGAGTTCTGTGTTATTCAGCTGTAATTGTAATTTGAGCCTCATCAGTAGCCATTTTGACATGTTTTCCTTAATTTTTTTTTTTAAGATTTTATTTGTTTATTCATGAGAGACCCAGAGAGAGAGAGGCAGAGACATAGGCAGAGGGAGGAGAAGCAGGCTCCATGCAAGAAGCCCAATGCGGGACTCCATCCGGGGAATCTGGGATCACTCCCAGAGCTGAAGACGGCAAAGGCTCAACCACTGAGCCACCTAGGCATCCCCATTTTCCTTAAGTTTTTTTTTTTTTTTAAGATTTATTTATTTATTTATGATAGAGAGAGAGAGAGGCAGAGACACAGGAGAAGGGAGAAGCAGGCTCCATGCTGGGAGCCTAACGCGGGACTTGATCCCAGGACTCCAGAATCGCGCTCTGGGCCAAAGGCAGGCGCTAAACCTCTGAGCCACCTAGGGATCCCCTCCTTAAGTTTTAAACCTAAATTCCTCTTCTTTTTTTTTTTAATGGCAAACTTTAGGTTGACAGTTATTCCTACAATGACTGTTCTGGTATAGAATTGTGTGCTAGTTAGTTAAGTCCTTGGGCTCCCATATTGATCAGACCTGGGTTTGAATATGATTCAGAAAAAAAAAAAAAGAATATGATTCAGTTAGTAGCTAGTTGTGTGATATTGAAAATTGTTTCATTGCTCTTGTGCCTCTGTTTTTCCCATCTGTAAAACAAGGATGATTATAGAACTGACCCATTGGATTGTAGAAAGAAGTCAATGATAAAATCTATGTAAAGTACTTGGCCCACTGCCTGGATGGAATGAGGGCTTGATAAATACTAGCTATTAGTATAACTCAAGAATAGCTAAAAGAACTTAGGAAATGAGCCTGAGATAAATGGAATATACCCTTCCAGGGGGTATTCCCATTGTTGGGGGTGGCACAGATCAAATGACATAGTAGAGCCCCTTCCCAGTTACATACCACACTTATTTTTGGAGAAATCTTGTTCTGTTACTACCTTGTAAAGGGTAATCATCAGGAATGGGAGTTGGTTCTCCTATAACAAAGAAGTGGCAATGTAGAGGAGAGTGTTGCAGAAGAGCAGCTGGAAAGTAGGTGAGCCGTGGAGAGTATTGGAGGAAAAAAGTTGAGGGCATCCTACTAAGGTTCCTGTCCAGGTTGTACTACCTCCTCTTGGGAAAGGAAGATTCTGAATGATGTGGGTTTACTCTGTGTAGTGATGTATTTGCAGGGGATATAACCCTTTTCTTCTTTCTCCTCTCTTTCTGCTCCTGACCCAGGGATCAGTGGAGCTCCAACTCTGATCCTAGGCCCAGCATGGTTAAGCCCTAAGAAAGAAGTTGCATCTGTGGGACCTCTGCTATGTGCCAGGCACTCTAAGTTCATGATCACCTGGATTCCGTGCTGTGAGTAACATCACCACCATTTTACAGATGAGGAAACTGGATTGAGGCTCAGTGAAGCACAGAAATGAGTTAGGGCTCCCCCATAAGGTGATAAGTGGTAGAACTGGAATTTTTTTTAAAAGATTTTATTTATTTATTCATGAAACACACAGAAAGAAAGAGAGGCAGAGACACAGGCAGAGGGAGAAGCAGGCTCCATGCAGGGAACTGGACATGGGACTGGATCCTGGGTCTCCCGGATCATGCCCTGGGCTGAAGGTGGCGCTAAACCGCTGAGCCGCCCAGGCTGCCCTAGAACTGGAATTTTAATCACCATCAGTCATACACCAAAATCCAGCTTCTTTTGCTGCTCAGCACATAACTCCATACCATACTTCACTTGATTCTTTTCTTTTCTTTTTTTTTAAAAAGATTTTATTTATTTATCTGAGAGAGCGAGAGAGAGCGTGAAAGAGATCTCTAGCAGGAGGGGAGGGGTAGAGGGAGAAGCAGATTCCCTGCCAAACAGAGACCCCAATGTGAGGTTCAATCCCAGGACCCTGGAATCATGACCTGAGCCCAAGGCAGATGTTTAACCGACTGAGCCACCTAAGCACCCTTCACTTCAGTTTCATATAGTCTTTTATGTTATTTCTGTGGCTCAATGCCCTAATACATGAATCTCCGGGAAATATGTGAAATTTTAATAACGATGAGAATAGCTGACACGTACTGGTTCTGGCCTTCAATGGGTTAAAGCAAGGAGGTCAGGTCACTTGTGCCATTTCTCAGAACTCCAATAGCAGAGCCAGGCAGGGAATCTAGTCTGTCATGTCCCAAGATTGTGGTACTTTTTTTTTTTTAAAATAATTAGTTCTTTTTCCATTTTTTAAATTTTTTTTTTAAATTTATTTTATGATAGTCACACACACACACACACAGAGAGAGAGAGAGAGAGAGAGAGGCAGAGACACAGGCAGAGGGAGAAGCAGGCTCCATGCACCGGGAGCCCGACGTGGGACTCGATCTCGGGTCTCCAGAATTGCGCCCTGGGCCAAAGGCAGGTGCCACACCGCTGCGCCACCCAGGGATCCCCCAAGATTGTGGTACTTAACTCTTTTTGCCTTTGAGAGTCTATGCTTGAGGCAAGGATACTAATCTCTGAGCACATCTTTCTCAGGTAACCTGTATGGCTTTTGTTGTTTTAAAATGGCTCCAAGGGGAATCTTAGAGGCACTGAGCATGCCCCTGAGAAAGGTAAGGCAGGCGGGTGATGTCGCTGGTTGTGGGACAGTACTAGCAACTCTGTGACTTTCCATCTCTGGATATGAAGTTGTAGTAAGCCTTGTGATTCACCTCCCCAACTTCTCCCTATGCTTTCTCTCAGCAGATCCTATGCCTTCCCATCAGCAGGCTTAACTCATACTGTTTGCTCTATAAGAATATCCTATCTCCTCCCTACCCCCTGGCCCCAGGCCTGTCTGAGGAGACCCAACTGCCACCCTTTCTGGGAAGCCTCAGTGGATGGAGATGGACTGATTTCTGAACCCAAATCCAATCATTTATTATACACTCAGAAATAGGCAAATGTGAGACTGAGAAGTTTGTGAAAATCTCAAACTGAGGGGATAAACATATTTATAACCTTAATATGTGTAATTCCTGTGCTCAGAAACCCTATAGTGCTTGATTTCATTTTTTTTTTTTATAGAAGAAATCTTATTCTACTGAAGTGCATGTGAAATGGGTTGAATCTCTTTAGTAGAATGCAGGAATACTCAAGCATTTGCATCATCACAATCTGGTGTCAGAGAGCCTATGTTTGAATGCTAGTGACTTTGGCTAAGTCACTTCCCATCGATGCCTCTCTTCCTTCATCTGTGAGAGATGGATGCTTCTACTACATTGTTAGTTTTTTTTTTGGAGCCTATCATGGGGTAATAATAATTGCTACCATTTATGGAGTGCTTATTATGTGCCTGGCACCATGCTAAGCTTAGCTTCACATTCTTATTTGAGCCTCCTAAGAGCTCTCTCTTCTTTAAGTTGCTTACCCAGCGATATTTTCTTCCCCATAACGCTTATCTTCTTCTACCATATTGTATCATTTACTCATTTTGTTTATTTTTCATCTTCCTCTTCTAGGGCCTCTTGCTTTGCCTAACTCCAGGAGGTACCATTCACTGTGCATTCTGAGTTCTGCCTTTACTGAGAATATGAACATGATTGGTGGGGATTTCTCAGAGTTGTGTAATGTGGAGACCTCGGAGCTCCAGGAGGACAGGGATTTTTTATTTTTAAATGTGTGTGCTTATTTTGATCATTGCTGTATCCTTGTATCCAGAACAATGCCTGACCTATAGTAAGCTTTCCATAAATATCTGTTGAAAGAATGAATTAAAAAGCCCTTAAAGAGAGCCTGTTTTACTGGTGAGGAAACTGAGACTCAGTGAGTTACTGATTTGCCTAAACCTCCAAGAGACACTGAGGCAGCTGGGTGTTTCCAGCATGCCTGCTTTCAACAGCTTTGCAAAGCTGCATGTCTGAAATGCCTGGCATTGTCCCTGCCAGCCCGCAATTGCTCAACAAATATTAATGAGCTTGCCTACATGGGTCAGCCTCTCTCCTCTCTGTAAGACAATCCCTATAGAGTAACAAACTGTCACATAGCCATTACTTCGAGAAATTAAATTAAATTGCAAGGTAAAAAGAAAAGGTGAACCTTTTGGAGTTTTTGGAAGAAAAATTCCTAACCCGACTGTTAATGGAGTTTTCAGGGGCCTCCCAGGCCTTTCCCACCCGATTCTTTTTCCTGCTGCTTCCCCTTTTGTGAGCATTTCTTCCCCTTTTTGCTTGCAGTGAGTTCTCTTCTCCTGTAGGCTACAATGTGTCAGTTGTTATAAAATCCGGGAGGTGGAGCTTGGTGACGAGGTGGGTGGGGGAGCGCTCAGCCAGCCCTGCAGGGCGAGCAGTCCAGCCCTGGTTCACCCGAAGCTCAAACCTTGCAGCAGGAGAACTTCCATCTCGCTCTCCTGGCTTTGATCCTCACTGTGCATCAGACCCGAGGCGCCGAAGGGAGGGAGGATGCGAGATGACTGGCCCTTTGGCAACCTGACCATCTCCTTAGCAGAGCTTTTGAAAGCCAGCCGGGGACTGACTGCGCGACCGCGACCAAGGAGGCGCCGCGCCTCTCGTGGATGTGTGTGTGTGTGTGTGTGGGTGGGTGGGTGAGCGGGTGTGAGTGAGTGAATGTGTGTGTATGTGTGCGTGTAGATCACGACTGTGTGTGCGTGTCCGGATGAGTGTGAGAGTGCACGCGTGAGTGTGTTTGTGTGCGTGTGTGTGTGATTGCTCTTGGTTATTATTTCTGCGGAAGAAACATCTTGAAAATCTGGGACAGGTTACTGTGTTCCTAGGGTGGGAGTTCTTCTTTTGCAAGAGGAGCTGACCAGACCAAGCTCCTAGAGACATTCCCCCCCCCCCCCCCCCCCGGAGAGTAAAGAGAATTTTCCTCCCGGAACGAGAGGGATCCCCCCCCACCCCTGGTTCTGCAGCCTTGTAAAAGAGATTAGCCCCTAAACCTGTGAAATCGACTAGAGCCGTGTGATTACCAGGGCTTGAGAGAGGACTCGGGAAGAAAGAGAGAAATAAATCAAAAGCCTGTCAGTGCCTTTGGCCACGTTGGAAGATGTCATCTCAAACTAAGTTCAAGAAAGACAAAGAGATCATTGCCGAATATGAAGCCCAAATAAAAGGTGAGAAGAGGGCTGGGGAGTCATGCTTCCCCTCCCCTTTCCTTTTTCTCTTGCTTTGGCTTTCTTTTACCCTTTTTCCTCCCTGCCATCACGAAATGTTGTTATGCATCAATAATCTTATTGTGAGTAGAAACAGTGGCAGCCGCACAAGTCCAGACTGGTTTCAACTGCAGAGAGCGCTGGCGCTGGCAGTATGGATTATAGAATGGGCAGCAATCACTGCATTGCAGGTGTGTGAGGAGGATCCTACGCCCGGCTTTAGGAGTGCGGCGGATACTCCATCATCTTGGCGGTGACATGCCACTCTAAGGCCATTTTGACAGTCACTGCCTCCTCCCCCCTTCCATGCTGAAAGCCCCCGAATGTGGTCTTTTTATGATCTGCATTTATTTTTCTTTCTTCTTTTTGGTTTTTGTCATTGCTTTCCCTTGCCTCTTTCTCTGGGCTGGAAGCCACATACATGTGCACAGGGAAGCAGCATCCCTGGGCTGCAATTCTTTGTCAGTGTTTCTCTGCTGGCCTGGGTTGCCATGGATTAACTGTTATAGGGCATATCGATCCGAAGTAATGCAGGCATTTAGGCATAAAGAGGGAGCTCGGTGAAGAAAATGTATTCTCTCACAGTGTGCAGCCCCAATCACCGGCCGTCCGCTGGTGAGCGTGTGGGGTCATCAGCCCTCATTCAAAGCCAACAGCTTAGTGTGCCGTTTCGGCTGGTAGGAGCTGCCTGGCTGCCCTGCCGTAGTGCCTGAGGAAGCCTGCCAGCAGGGTGAGATGACCTCTGGCTGCTTGTTCCAGCTCTGCTGCCACGGGGTGCACGCTCCTCTTAGAAGCTGCTCCCCAAACCCTCACTAACAAGGCAAGATAAGAAACCAGACACAATCAGATAAATGCAGGCGGAATCCTCATTCACGCCAGACTGGGGTTCTCCCACCTTCATGAGTTTTAGGCTCAGCTTTGGCAAGGAGAACCTAAAAGCACCATGCCCACCGCTTTGCCTGAGGATGTACCCCGAGGGAAGCCTGGGCCTGCGCCTCTCAGTGTCTGGTCTCTTTCTGGTTGTGGATCTCCTTGCTGCGACACAGGGTGTGTTGTGGTCTTCCATGGAGAGGCTGAAGACGGAAGATGTCTTCAGGGCATATTGATGCCTGCCCTTGAGGCTCCGGGTGGACTATTTGAGCAAGTTGGTCATTTGGGGCCCCTGGGAGACCTGAGACTGCCACACCTGCTTTTCGGTGCTGCTGCAGCTCCGGACTCGGTGACCCAGGAAGTCGGGTCGCCTCCCCAGGAGCAGCGGGAGGCCGGCATCCACAGCTGCTGCACACGCTTCAGATGCTTGGGAACCTTTGGGAGGGGAGCAGCCATCAGGGGAGGGCTTTGTTTTTTTTCCAGTCTCGCCAAACGTCTTTTGCCTTTTAGTTCTGGTTGGACCCGGCATGCTAATCACCTCTGGGTAAACCCTAGGGCAAAATAAGCAGAAAACCCTGCTCCAGTGTTCAGTTCAGTATGGAAAACAGTGACTTAGACGATGTTTCAGCCTTGCTGAGAATTTAGGAGCAAGCCCTTTAGTGGTTAGAGATTTGAATTCACCCGACTGCTCCAATACAAAAGCCCAGGTTCAGTCTTTTGCATACACACTTTTTAGCGAGTTTGTATTTTGTAAGATGAATGTTAGCTGATTATTATTGTTCTTTTTAACTGAGGTTCCCCCAAAAATGCTACAACAGAGAAGGGGATGTTCAGTCTTGGACATTTTGGGGGTTTTCATTAGCATTGTCGTGGTAGAAAATAACATTTGTATTTTGGATTTTTGGATTACGACTACCACTGGGCCTGTGGGAACTTTGCTTGGGGATCAATTAAGCATTTATTCCTCTGGCTGGTTCTTTTTTTTTTTTTTTCTTAATACTTTTTTGCCTTTCACTTTTATTTTAACAACTACTCAGCAAGTCCAAGGTAACGCATGTCAGCAGGAAATTTGTCCAGATGATCTTGTCTCTTCCAGACGCTAAAGGTCTCTACATTGTGGTTAAAGCTGTTGAATTTTATTCCTTTAGAACTGATACCCACAAGCCTTAGGTCAGTATTGTTGCTGTGCCCAAAACCGTCTGGAATCTTTCAAAATTCTGTTTATTATCCTCCTAATTACTGATGTACATACAGGGCTCTACACTTTCTTTGGCTCACTCCCAATCGGCACTACTCTCAGCCTGCACAATGTATGGAAAGGGTTCGTATGAGCTCTGATATAGACATGAGGAAACGGAGGCCTGATGGGTTGGAATGACTTGCCCAAGGTCACAAGGCTGGAAATGTGAAGGCAGCAGATCTTGTTTCCCAAGACATCATCTGCCTGAAGCTGCCCCTTGAAGGATTGATGTCAGTAGCAGATGGCGGTTTTGTGGTGGGGACTGGCTGCCTCTTGATGGGGCTCCATTGTTTACTCTCTTACTTTTATTCCTTGCCTTTGTTGCTTTGCCTCTGAAGAGCGTTTGACCAATCACCAAAAATAACGCCTGATGCCAGTTTCCTTTCTCCTTGGATATCATTTCACCAGTTTGGTGCAAACACTTCACTTACTTAGATTTTGTCCTCTGTGAATTGAGGGAGGTGAAGTATTTGGTTTTTTAAAAATGGTACTGAGTTCTTTGTTGACTTATTACTCTCTTTTATCTCTTTTTCAAGAATTTATTGACCTAAGGAGGAGGTTTTAAAACTGTTTTTTTTTTTCCTATTGTAAAAAATTTCAGATCCATGCCTTCTCTTGCCTCATCAAATACCTGAATCCCTTGGCTTATGTATTTGCAACATAGTAGTATATCATGTGCTTGTACATTTCCAGTGATGGGGAATGCATCACTTCCCACGCCTACGTAGTCTACCTATGGATAGCTCTGACTGTTGTAAGTGGGTTGTATGTCCACCTATTTATTCTATAGTATCCTCCCCTTGGGATTTCATAGCACAAGACAGATACTTCTTCCCCATGACTGCCCATTGGATGTTTGGAGATTCCGATCATAGCCCCTGGACTATGATTATCCTCATTTGCTCATGCAAGATGCTTATCTGCTGCTTAATCATCTTTGCTCTCCTTTGGATTTACGTGTGCTGGGTTGCAAACTCCAGTGCCTTTGGGTGCTTGGCAGATAGAATCAAAGAGTGAAACTGGCCAAGTAAGATGACTTGCGGTAGTTGGTCCACCACCTCATTGAGGGCAATAGAAGAAAGGGTGGTGGTGATTATGGTAGGCTTGAGATCATGTGTCCCGTTCATATGGAAAGTCACTACTTGTGTTCAGCCTATTGTTGCCATTTAGGAATGTAGACTTAACTAGATCTTTCAATTTCTCAGCAGATGCCAGAGATCTAGATGAGAGCTTTATGCTATTAATGATATTTTGCCAAGGTACACTGGCGGGGTCCATTAGTAGAACCTGAGACTCTTGATCTTGTGGGGTCATGAGTTCAATCAAGCCCCATGTTCAGTATACATATTACTTACAAAAATTTAAAAAGTTTTGTGACCCTTGATCTCAGGGTTGTGAATTCGAGCCCCACACTGGGTATGAAGATTGCTTAAAAATAAAATGTTAGGGGGTACCTGGGTGGCTCAGTGATTTGAGTGTCTGCCTTTGGCTCAGATTGTGATCCTGGGGTCCTGGAATCAAGTCCCGCATTGGGCTCCCTGCAGAGAGCCTGCTTCTCCCCCTGCCTATGTCTCTGCCTTTCTTTTATTTATTTAAAGATAAATAAAATCTTTAAAAAAAGATATTTTGCCAAATAGACCTTCAAAAGATCATACTATCAAAGATCTTCTTCAAGAGTGGCACTAAATTTTATATAAAGGTCTCTGGATGTGGTCAGAGAAAGAAAATAATTATCACCTCTTTTATGCTGAATGTTTAATGCTTCTTAATATAGCCCAAGGGTTGAATTAGCCCTTTCACTGCCCACCTTCTCATTGTACCATATTTATTATACCTGTCATATTTTTCCAATCCACTAGGGTAAGAGTTTTGTCAGAGAGAAGAAAATGATATGAATTTAGTAGGACTTGTTTTGGTGACCCTGTCCTGGCTCCGAATGGACTCTCTCTCCTGTCTAAGGTGCTTACAAGTGTCTCTTTATGAATTTGTTCAAGAATTTTGTTTGAGAGTGACATCACATTCTCTAGTCTGGAAATGGCACATTATAACTTCTTTCCCCTTTTGAAAATCGCAGTAACATTTGCCCATCTCCAGAGTTTTGGCATCTATCCTATTTTTCACAATTCCCTCAAAGATTGCTGATAGTGTTTGATAATCTTATTTGCCAGAGTTCTCAGTATCCTGGGCTCTAATTCACCTTGCTGTCAGACTTATATAATGGTCTGTTCTTCTTTCATTCAGAGTTCCCATTTCCATTGCAACCTAATAGAACATTGAAATAGAAACACAATGACTGACTTTGGTGTTTTGTTTTTTAATTATACATCCATAGTCATTTTAGGCCATCTTTTTAATAGCAAAAGTCCAGAGTTTGGGGGAAGAAGAGCAGATTTTGAAGAAGATCACAGAGAAGTACTTATTTACTCATTCATTTATATATTCATTCACTAAACATTGATTATCTACTTTGTTCTTGGTCTTGTGCTGGGTGTTGTGATACAGAATATATGATACATTCTTGGCTTTCTAAGAGTTTTCTTGAAATACAGTGATAAAATCAGTGAAGGAAATTTAAAAAAACTCAGAACACAAAAACTTTCAACTGAGCACCAGAATGAGTTTAGTCTTAAAGAGATGATGCCGTTGAATGAGTAGTGGGGACTGTGGCTGATTAGTGAGCTCACCTAGAGGAGTCAGCTGCTGCTCAGCTCATCCTTGCTGCCAGGCAGGATGTAAACCCAGAGTTATCAGTTCTTTCATTGTTTCAAGGGCATCTGAATTTTAAAACAAAATGTTCTGATTTTTATTTAAATTTTTAAAAAATTTAAGAATTTTACAAAACAAAATGTTT